TTAAACCTGAAAATTAATTTTCTCTGTGATTTTACATCTCCTCAAGGTGTTCAAGAAACAGAGCAATGAAGATGCTCAAAAGATTCAGTCAACAGACTGACATTGTGCAAAAGCAGATAGCAGAAACAGAGAACAGAACAGGAGTCAGCAGCTCCATATTCTACATTGAGAGAACCCTGAAGTCTAAGAACAGATAGGTAAAACTAGGACCTACACTTAGGAGCAGGTAGTTTGAAATATGAAGTTCACCACCTACTTTACAACCTGATGCAGAATAGACTTCATATTGGGCCTTTGCAGAGGAACAAATTTCATGTTAAGGAAGTGCAGTGTTTCTGAAAGATGGCAGACTGACAACTCTCTAAGCTGATATCTTCTACCTAGTCAATGGCAAGAGTTCAGCCTAAATGGAAGCTCAGAAAAATTCTATACAGTTCCAATAAACATAAATAAACCTTACTTTTTGTGTTAAAATATGAAAGTCTCAGCAAGCTTCCACTGCTTTTCAAGTCCTTAGTCTGAAGACATGATTTACACATGGGAAAATAACAGATTGCAATCTATTACTGTGTTTAGGAATTACCTCAGTTGTTCAAAAGTGATCCTACAGAGTTAATTCAGCTTTTGGAAAATACGTGTATCTATCAGGGAAATTACTGAGGTTCCTGAAAGTGATGTGTTAACTATGTTTAGCATCTTTGTGATAAAATAAATACTTTGGTTTATTAAACATAAGCTATATTAAGCATTTCATTACTAATGACATCCTGTATCTTCTTGGTTTGCTCCTTATCCTTCTATTTCAAATAATGTCACCATTATTTTTTGTATGTGTTCATCATTTAGTTCTGACCAAAGAGGTAGGATTCCTCTAATCTAAACTTTGTAAGCTTACAGTGCAGCAATTTATATGACAAACTCAGTCCAGATGCCCTTTGTTACCAGCGGAGAGACTGGGTGTGATAAGGCCTTCCATAGGGACAGATGGTTGGTCCTTGTGCATAAGTGTCTGTTACACTCCATTGACAATAAAGGGAATGTAGGTATGGAATCAGCTAAAACTAGACGTCATCATTACAGATATTTCATAACTTTAAGCTAGTCAATATGTACATCAACAGATGTATTCAGCACATATTCATGGGATTCACAACAGGAGTCACCTCTTCTTAAAGAGGCATCTATAGCAGACAAGAATTATGCCTTAGAAGTGCATTTTTCTCTGCATCAGCTTTAGACATTATGTTAATAATTTCAGTACAGATATTTACAGCATGTGTGTCCAGACCTTGCTGAGATGAATGTTATTTTACATGACTACCACAGACCTTGATGTATTCTCTGCAAAAGCTTTCATTTGATTAAAACTGTTTCACTTAAGACTCAGCATTTAAACTGAACAATTCTCTTCCTTTGAAGAGGCAGGCCTAAACAGCAAAACAATAGGTACATAGTCTTCCTTTAAAGGCTATGTTTTTGAAGGTCTCCTTTTTTTGACAGTCTGTGATGTTTTGCCTTGAAACAGTTGAATGGTGAGAACCTCTATGACCAAGGTAACAAAGCCTTTACCGGAGTAAAAGCTATTCTGTATTTTATCCTTACCTTAGTAGCACACAGTGTCATCTGTCAAATCTTATGTGAGTTAAAATGGCTTTTTTGAGTTACAGGACTTTGCAATTAGTCCAACAGAAGCAGCTACAGTCCCAGCAGCAATGGCACAAGACACATCTCCAGTGCAGCAGAGATACCTGGAACTGGTGGGAGAGTAATGTCTAAGCTACAGTTTTCATCCCTCTCTCAGAGACAGAAAAGATTGACAGCCACAAATTTCCTTACACAATTACTTCTGGAGCTTCAGGTCCTCTGATGTAGAGGACCCGTGTTTTCTGATGGCCTCCCTGGTTCACTCCAAATGGCATCATCACATATCTAGCTCAGCAGTTCAGCAGTTCTTACAGTTGTGCAGGTTCTGAGACTAGAGATATATCTTTGTTACATCCCATTCACAGAAGCTGGAAGATTCTATTTAGACTATTTAGAACCCACTGGTCCTTGTTCCATATTGCACAGTTTCTCAAAATAGTTTTTTTTTTTTTTCATCTGACATACAGTTACTGTGTTTGTTTAGCTCACAGCATGAATTTGTCTTCTAGAAACCTGTTTTTAAAAAGAGGAATAAGAACACTGGAACATCCAGTACAAATCAGTGGAAATTCTACTCAACAATGCAAAGTGATATGTATTTTCATTTCCAATTCATGCCCGGTTATGTCCTATGTAATATCCATAGACACTTCAGCAGTCTCCTTAAGAAGTGTGAATATGCAACGGAAAAATAAGAACATGATCGCTTCAGAGATTCGTCAAAGTTAGACATTTCTAATTTCTATTGCTTTTACTGTAAAGAGGTGTCTCCATAATGCAATAAAAGAGTGAGGAAAGACAGAGGATGCTATTACCTGTGTCTTTTTGTACTAATACTTTATAGAAAGGCCACATTCATTGCCATGCTATTGGAGAAAATCTTATGTTTAAACTGTTTGTAAGGAAAATAACAGCTGGAAAATAGAAAGTCTGCCTCAACAAACAATGAAATACAACTTGCTTTTTTTAAAAGTAACTTTAAGACATTCGTCTAATTGTTAGAATGTGAAGAAGGCTTTTGTTAGACCTTTTGAAGAACATATCTCTTCTAAATAGCCAAATAGCTTCTAAAAGGCCAACTGGGCCATTATTGTCCTCAAATTTTTTTGATCCATTCCTCAAGTTTCTTGCTGGTCTGAAAGAGTTTGGGAAGAAAAGAGAGTGAATAACTTCACCTTGATTTCACCATTGCACATAAACTTACTTGTCTCACAGGCAATGCTGTCAGTCTACTTTCTTCCTGATGCTCTTGAAAAAACACAATTCATTGTCATCCAGTCATTACTATCTCTCAAGTTTTCCTTATCATTAAAATCTTCTTTTCCTCTTTATAGATCTTCATAATCTATAAACTTCAGAATGTGTTACTTCTTACATTTCATGTACTTTCTTCTTGACTTTTATGACAATATTGAATACAGTATCTCAAATAAGTTGACGATGGTATTATATTTCAAGATCCTACAAACTAATTGTGTGATTAGCTAGATATAATTAATGCCAGATAACTGACAATAAAAAAGTATTCCTTTGCATCTTTCCCAAAATTAATCTCCTATGACTGTGATGAAATAGAACATACTAATAGACAATTCTATTCTGACTTTTAAATCAAAATAACATTTATCCTGTTGTTGTTGTTACAAAATCTGAATATAAAGGGTAACAGGTTTTTGAGAGATGATACTTTTTTGCCTAGTTTACTACCTTTGTTTGATTTTTTTAAATTCCATGGCTAATTTAAGACCCTTCTGCTCTTTACATCCCTTTTTTGTTCATGGAGGTAGAATTATTCTACAATCTTTTCCACAATGTTTCTGTTTCTTTTCATTAATCTGATTACCTGTCCACAGAGAAAAAGGACTAGAAGGGACCTCAAAAGGTCTTTTAGTCCATTACACTGGGTCACTCCTGTACAGCTCACTTGTTCTAGCGATCGCCAAATTTGGACACTCTGTATGCCCTTCACCAACCTGTTCCAAGGTTTTTCTCCTCTTCTTAAAAAAACTTTTGGTGAATGTCTAACTTGATAATTCAGAAGAACTGTGTTCTGCAGTTTGTGGGATCTTTCACCAAGACTTGAGATTTCGTTTGCATCAAACTGAAGAAGTGCGTGTGTTTAGTACAATCTCAAGGCAAGGGTTGTGATGTATTTATCACTATTAGCACATAACGTGTGACTGAGGGACACTAGCTATGAACTAACGTTCCATTTCCAGTTTGTTATTGGATGTAACAGCATATGTTCCCAGAGTTCTTGGAGATGTATTTATGAAGTCTTCACTTTCAGTAAGGCAAACACATTATTTCTGGGATGTTCTTGAGCATGTATCAATGAATTCAAATGTGTCTGCAATATGTCATAGATATAAGCAGAGTGAACATTTGAATTTGAAAAAATATTCTGCTTTTCCAAAAATCTTTATGGCTTTTTATCTTCCTTTGTCCTCCATCTACCTCCTTAACTTACTTGAAGGAAATAAATCATATTTTTTCTCCTTTAAAAATGTCCTGTAGGTTACTTCAGGCCACTCTGTTTATAAGAAAGCACTTGCCTTATTTGCTGATCAACGTTTGCCTTCTCTTGGGTCTTTTTTGCTGCTCAGTCAGCAAATGACACTGACCAAAACCGATGCATAAGTCCTGGCTGGTCCCCTGCTTTTGGGGAATTTCATCCATACCCAGTTAAGCACTGACAGGTACACACCTTCATTTCCAGCCATTTTGCTTATAACTGCTGAGTTTGATTTCTCTCTATAACGTCTTTATTCTAAAGTCGTGGAAATTAGTTACACCATGGAATTACACTTATGTTTCCAACATAAAAGAGACCAAAATCAAGACCTCAGGGAACAATCATGAGTATAAGAACATACAGGGATATTTTAGCTTTATTTGTATTGCTGTTTTGGAATTTTTTGGTACACAGAAATAAATTCACATACACAAAAAAAGTGATTTCAAACACTCCATTGGGATTAAGCAACTGGGTGAGAGGTTTATTATTGTATTATGGTAGCAGTCTGAATCCCTTAGCAAGATTATGTTTCTCATGTTTGGCACAGCAGAAAAAATCCCTGCTTATAATAATGCAAATTAAAATAACAGTAGAGGGTATTAAGCGTTACTAAAGTTCTGTTATTGTAGCAGTGTGAAGAAGCGGGAGCAAACTACAGTGTGTGTGAAATCACTGTTTGGGAACAAATGGGAATGCTGTATATTTGTTTGTATAATTATACAGTGTATATAGTTCCCAAAAGGGAGGCAACAAAACGGTCTCTGTGTTTTCTTCTTGAATTAAGCACAAGTTGTTTATTACAAGGCTGCATTAAAGTTCTTTCACTCTATTATAACAGGAGACTGGCTCGTTCTACACTACTGCTTATCCCCTTGTTTGGAATTCACTACACGGTGTTTGCTTTTTCTCCTGAAAATGTCAGTAAGCGGGAGAGACTAGTGTTTGAATTGGGACTGGGATCTTTCCAGGTGATTATACAGTGAATTCTGCTTTTGTTAAAAAGAAATCTCTATTTATTGTAACTACTTTGCATGCACAGTTCTCAGACTGTGTGATTATTTATGTGTATATTTTGTATACTAGGATTTTGGTTTTGTTTGTTTGTTTTAACTCCAACTATTTTCAAGAATTTACTGAAGGATTTGAATTACATTTTTTTTTTTCTTTCCCATTTACCTAGGGTTTTGTTGTGGCTGTTCTTTATTGTTTCTTGAATGGGGAGGTAAGACTTTTAATGTTTAATGTCACCCACCCACCATCCCCATCTCATTTCCTTGTGGGAGTAACTGATGTTCTAATCCTGCACTGCAACTCATCGTCTACCATATTCCCTAATACCTTAGGCTGAATCTAACAATGTCATAGCAAAAGAAAGAGGGTGTGTGATGTCTTCATTAAACCAGAACATTGGCCTTGCCAGAGATGATGGCTCAAATAAACGCTCACTAACAGAGGTAGGGACTGTACTGGGCTCTTTGGTAATGTCATCCCAGGTGAAGAACTCTGCATTTGTCTTTGTTAAACTTCATACAGTTCTTGCTAGTCCACTTTTCCAGCCTGTTCAGTTCTCTCCGTAAGGCAGCTCTCCCTTCTCACATGTCCACCTCACCACTCAGATTGATGTCATCAGCACACTTGATGAGGATGCTTTCAATCTCATCATCCAGATCACTTATGAAGATGTCGAACAGTGAGGGGTCCAATATCGATCCCTGGAGGACCCCACTAGTGACAGGCTACTAGACTGAGTAAAAAACATTGTTCACCACCCTCTGAATGTGCCCTTTTAGACAATTTCCCACCCATCTTGCAGACCACCTGTCCAATCTATGTCTTGCCATTTTGCCTAGGAGAAGGCTGTGGGAAACTGTGTCACATGCTTTGCAGAAATCCGTGTAAACAATATTCGCTGGTCTCCCCATGTCAACAGAAAATATTCTTTTGTTGTAGAATAAGATCAGATTTGTCTGGCATGATTTGGCTTTGGTAAATCCTTGCTGGCTATTCCTAATCATCTGCTTCATTTGGTTTGCAATAGTTTCTAGGAGGTCTCATTCCATTATTTTTCCAAGGACTGAAGTAAGACCCAGGCCTGAAGTTTCCTGGGTCCCCTTTAAAATAGAATGGAATGGAATGGAACGGAGTAGAATAGACCCTAGCCTCTTTTGGGCCCTTCTTGTATACGGGTATGACATTTGTCCTCTTCCAGCCATAGATATCCCCTGATCTCCACAACTTTTCAAATATTATGTACAGTAGCCTTGAAACAATGTCAGCCATTTCTCTTAACAACATGGAGTGGACTCCAACTGATCGCATAGGTTTACGCAGGTTGAGCCCCTGCAAGAGGCTGTAGACCAGACCTTCCTCCATTCCGGGTAAGTTGGCACATGTGTTGTCGTAGCTGGTTGATCCTTTGACCTGGCGTCCAGCTACACCAGTACAGACAGAGGCAAAAGAGGTATTGAGAATCTCTGCCTTGTCAGCATTGTTAGTGATTAGATCCCTGCACTGTTTAGCAATCAACCTATGTCTTCCCTGTGCTTATTCTCAATGTTCGTGTATTTGAAGAACGCTTTCTTGTAGTTCTTGACTTTTTTGGCCATTTTCAGTTCTAGCTGAGCCTTAGCCTTCCTGACCGCATCTCTGCATGCCCTAGCAAGGTTCTTGTAGTCCTTGATGGGTATTTGGTGGCCTTTCCATAGCCAGTATGCTTCTTTTTTTGCTTTTAAGCAAAAATTCACTGTTAATACAGCTGGTCTCTTGTTCTGCCTTCTTCCTTTCCCTTTATAGTGGATAGACCTCTTGCGCTTCAGAGGCTGTTCTTGAGCCTTCTTCCCAGCACTCACAAGCTACTTTGCCTCCCATAGATGCTTCCCATGGAATCCCTCACAGCTGACCTCTGAACATACTGAATTTGTCGCTTCTAAAATCCTGGGTATTTTTCTTACTACTGATCTTCAGTGTGCTCAGCAGTACCTTAACTACACAATGTTACGATCACTGTATCCAAGGCTGTCATTGGTTATACTGTCATGTAAGTCTTCTTGTTTTGTGAGCAGTAAATGTAGCAATCATAGAATCATTTTGGTTGAAAAGGACTTTGAGATCACGGAGTCCAAGCATTAACCTAACACTGCCAATTCCACCACTAAACCATGTCCCTAAGCACCGCGTCAACACCCCTTTTAAATACCTCCAGGGATGGTGACTCAACCACTTCCCTGGCCAGCCTGTTCCTTTGCTTGACAACCCTTTCAATGAAGAAAGTTTTCCTAATATCCAATCTAAACTTCCGCTTATGCAACTGGAGGCCATTTCTTTTTGTCCTGTCACTTGCTACTTGACAGAAGCGACTGAGATCCACCACACTACAACCTCCTTCCAAGTGAACAGCAATGAGCTGTTTCTAGTCAGCATGTCCAGCAGCCATAGCAGTAAGAAATCCTAAATACAATCCAGGAACCTGACAGAGAACTTGTGTACCACTGTGTTGTTTTTATAACGAATGTCTGGGTAATTTAAGTCAGCCATGAGAACCAGGTTCTTTTGTTCTGAGACTTCCTTAAGCACCCAAACAAAGACTGAGAATCATAGAATCATAGAATTTCATCAGCCTCATCATCCTGATTGGGAGGTTGCTAACAGATGCCTAACAAAAGATATTCTTTGGTGGCAATTCCTCTAATCTGATTCAAGGGCATTTGATAAAACTTTCGTGGTCTCCATAACTCACCTCCAATCGTGGTTTGGTCCCAGCCAGCAATAAAGGGCCATGCGGTCTCTATTGCCCCTCTCCATGCTGGGGATGGGGAGAAGAATGGGAAGAAAAAGGCAAAACTCATGGGTCAGCATAAGGGTAGTTTAACAGAACAGCAAGGAAGAGGACAGTAAGAACAATAATACTGATAAGAAGAATACACAAAACAAACAGCACAGAGCAACTCACACTGCCTGGTGCCCAGCACTCTCCCAAGCTGCTATTAACTTCCCCCCCCGGCCAGCTCCCCCACTCAGAACTGAGCATGATGTCGCATGGTATCGAATACTCGATTTCTCTGGTCAGTTTGAGTCAGCCAGCCAGGATGTGTCGCTTTCCGGCTTCTTGTGAAAACTAACCCTGTCCTGGCCAAACCCAGGACACCTCCATACACTCAAATTTCTCTTTTACATGAAGTGCAATTCCACCTTCTCTTCTCCTTTTCCTACCTCCCCAAAAGAGTTTGTAGCCATACTTTGTGGTCTTCCATTCATGTGAGTTTTCCCACCAAGTTTCTGTGTTCTCTGTAGTATCACAACTCTCTGACTGGACACAGTGCTCCAGTTTCTCCTGTTTGCCGTCCAGGCTACACACATTAGTGCACACAAACTTGAGGTGACTGGACTTAGCATTCTTGCCTTTGGAGAAAGTAGAGGGAGCATTCCTCACTACTCTGGTAGGTAAACTCATCCAACCTCTTGTTTATGAATATGCAGATGTCACAGCTTTGGACACTACCCCTCAAGTTCATTAGTTTAAAGCACAATTCACTAAGTCAGCCAATCTTCTAGTGAAAATTCTCCTGTTTCTTCTAGGTAGGCATATCTCATCTCTACCCAGTAGGTTGTATTCATTGAAGAATGTTCTACGATTGTAGAAAAAAAACCTAGCAATGACACCAGCCACAAAGCCAGGTATAGATCTACATGCTGTATCAATTTCCGCCTGCATCCCTCTCTCTGACTTGCAAGATAGAGGAGAAGATCACCTGGGCATCTCTCCCTTTCACATGTTCCCCCAGGCCTCTGAAGTCCAGCTTGATCTTGCCCAGGCTTTGCTTTACAGTGACATTGGCACACTCATGGAAAAGAAGTAGGGGATAGAAGTCTGTGCTTTTGACTAATTGTGGCAATCTCTCTGTGACATCAAGGATCTCAGCTCCTGGCAAGCAGCAATGTTCACTTGACTGTATATCAAGCAGGCAGGCTTCTTGGTGCCTCAGTGCTTCTCTGCAGGGAGTCACCCAGTACTAGCTCTTGCCGCTTCATTTTGCAGCTTTAAGTATGTGCTGCTGGTGCAGTTTCTCCCCGTGACTATTTCCCGTTGGTTTTGTCTGCTGACAAGGCTTAATATCTGTTGCTGATTGGTACATAAGAAGAAGGACAGTGAAGCGGTTACCTGCTCCCAAGGATCACCAGAGACCAAGGATCCTCCTTCTCCAAGGTGCTGTCTGTTAGCTGTTGAAGCCTTTTTTTCTCATGGTCCTTGGAAGTCAGTGCCACCAGGCCCTAATGTTTCTTCTTGCAAAGCATCAAATAATACTCTACCTATTTCTTGTTCACCCTTTCTAATGTAGCGTAGCCTGCTAACTTCCTCCTGCAGCTCCTCTCTGCTACCTGAATGGCTCCAGCAGAGCCCACCCAACCACCTAAGCGGGTGCAGCTTCCACACTCCTCCACCCATCAGGCAGGGTTACAGTTTTTGCAACCCTCCACCTGAACCACAGTTTCCCTGATGGGCAACTCTGTCTGGGTGGCTGCCTCCACTCTTCCCAGGCTAGCCTGGCTTGGTAGCTGATTCGTGTCTGATGCAGAACGCAACGATGGCCTAGTCTCTGCCACCATGTTTCCAACAACCTCAAAGCACTGCCTAATAAAACCTTCTAATTCCCTGGATACCTCAAGCTGCTGAGTGGGCTTGCAGAGCCACCAGCTAGCTGAGATGACCTTTGAAGATGCATCCTAAGTCTGCAGGTGAGCAGAACAGGCAGCAGCCCAACGACTGGCAGAATGCACAGCCCTTCCTGTGCAGAACTGGTGTACAAACTGCTTATGCCACTCCCGACAGACAACACGTCCTGTTGCTGATGCTGCTCCCAACAGGCACCATGCCCTGTTTGTGCTTCTGGTTGGGCGTTCCCCAGGAGTTGGTTATATGCAGCTTCCCCTAGTTAGACCTGGCCATGGAGACAACTGGCACCAGCCAACTGTTGTCCACTCCTCTCGTGAGACCCAACACCTGCCAACTGGTCCCTCCACACACATAGTCCAAGCGTGTCAGATGCCCAGAAAACCCCTCAGGCACCCTCTGGGTAACTTGAAAGCGTCATACTCCTCTCTGCACATGGCAACTGCTACTGCTAGCATCAGCTGCCCACCTTTGGGATTTTGTGATTCACCCATTCTGATCTGCAAAATTAAATTCCAAATTCTCCTAATTTTTTTTTAATCAAACTGAATACCTGAGATAGATAATCATTTTCTGAATTAATGGAAGAAGACTCCCTCCTCAAGGCTGCCTTAAGAGGAATATCTACAGTTCATCCATTCTCTCCTCCACTGATATACATCTATTTTGCAGTCCAACAGGAGAAGATTTCTCCTAAAATTGCCTTCTTTTCTTCTTTTCAAGGAGGCTGAGACCATTTATTTCTACCAGTTTTAGCGCAGCAGGTGTTCTGCACTTGTTTGCATACAGCATGCAGTAGCTGGTACCTAGTACAAAAGCTCTTGAACTCCTCGATCCAAGTGATTCCTTCTCCGATAACCATAACTATCCCTTCAAGTTCATTAAACTATCTTATAGGTCATCTTTTCTCATGGTGTTTTGTCAAGGTGACTGTTAAATGACTCTTAGGTAAATGTTGAAGCATTATTCATGGCTCATCCCCATGTAGCTCAGAAGATGAATTCTGGATTATGCTTTGCTGGAATTAGTGGCTGCATTCATACTTCACCAGCTGGCGTTACTGGATATCCAGCTCTCCTACCTACAATTGTTGTTTCATCTATTATCTTCCATAAGTGCTAAAAGAATAGCCAGAAGATCTTGTCTAAAACTAGCCTGGAGATAAGAATCTTCCAAGGTAACATGCACAGTGTGTCAGATTTCCTGTAACCCCTTGGAGGCAAGGGGCCCAAACTAACACAAGCATATTAAGTAAAGGCATTTTACCTCTCAAGACATTAGAGAATGTCTTGTGCTTCCTCTAAACTGCTCAGGGTAAGAAAGGATTCACCTTTGGTGTATTACACTGTTACAGATGCAAACACTATGTTCTTTTTACAGAGGAAATATACCTCCATACTCTGTCTAATCTATACCTATCTTTACTTAAAAGCAAAATAGTAATTTAGAAATACTAGAAGGAGAATATAAATTTTCCAGTTGGATTTTTCCTCTCTTTATAAGGTGTCCATACTGCTGAAACTTTTGTTTAGCATTTTGGCATATGCTCATCCATTTTGACACTTGTATTAGTCTAGGAAAATCTAGCAAAGACTGTTAAAGACAAGAAGAACATCTTTGACACAGCAGCTCAGTGAAGACTAGAAAAGTACGTTGGGAAAATACAGATTTCCTTGTTCTTATGCTATTTCTTTCACAAATATGCTACAAGCTACTGTCAGGAAAGTGTAACAGACCAAGTAAACGTTGGTCTGCACTAGTAAAATCTTTCTTATTTTCCATTTTTGCTGTCTTCTGTATATATGTACACACATGTGCATACACCTAGCAAGATTTCCAGGTAATCAGTGATGAATGAAAAGTAGAAAAGTTGTAGAACTCTTTGCTTATTTGCTAATTGGACATCTGACCGTGGATCACTTTACTGTTGGTGATTTGCTGTGGCTGCCCATGAAAAAAAGCTCAAGGGAAAGGAGGATATCATAGATGTATATGAATTCAGGAGCTATCTTCTACTTAGAGGTGATCTGAAAGTAGGAGGCAAAGTTTTTGGCAGACACACACCTATTAACGGTAGGTGAGAGACAAGTTGCCTTTGTGGACAGGTTATTTCATTACCGTCTAGTACCATTTGGTTGCTGGTTTCTTTGGCTCTTTGTTGTGATTTTGGTAATGGCCATTGATGAAAACAGGGTATTTTCTCCAAGATGCTAGCTAAAGAACTTTGTTGGAATTAGTGTTGAACAGGTCTTCTATGCACCTCTGAGCTGATCCTAAATTACCTGAAGTCAGCGGCACAGAATCAGAGCTGTTGTTCCCACTACATTCCTGGACCTCTTTCAGACATGGAGAAGTCACTTCAGATTTTGCTGATGTGAGATGTTCAATAATAGTCTTAAAAATTGTTCTGTCAAATTATGGGGTTTTTTTCTAAACTTGATAATTTGTCAGCATGTCCTCGAGCGGCTAAGTACATAAAGAATGACCTTTTGAAGTTTCTCCCTAAAGGTGCAATCAGAAATAAAGAGAAAATGGAGGAGCTGGAAAGTCAATCGGTATTTTGCTGTGGATTTCAAACACCGTCATCCTTCTCTAGCGAGCAGCGGAGTGAACGGGGGGACACAACTCTCCATTCTGAGCAAGAGCAGCTCTCAGATTCGGATGTCCAGCATAAATGCGGAGAACCTAGCGACATGAGCAGCTAAGGAAAACTAATCAACAACCAAACCAAAAAACATCCCTTTAAAAAGAAAAAAAAACAACAAAGTTCTGGTGGTGTTGTAGGTCCCTTTTTCCTTTCCTTTCCTTTCCTTTCCTTTCCTTTCCTTTCCTTTCCTTTCCTTTCCTTTCCTTTCCTTTCCTTTCCTTTTTCCTGTTTGAAGAGGTGAAAGAGCAAAGGAAATGTGTATATATATCTTTTTAGCAATCACTGTAAATACTCAACTGTATTCAAGGCCATTGACGGAAAAATATTTAAAAGATAAACAACAGGCCAAGCCCACCCACTCAATGATTTACATTTCAGAGCATCTGCAAGTAATCCGTTGTCAGTCAAAAGTAATAAGTGATTACTGTGCAGTTGTGATCCTTGGTTGCCAAACTGATACTAATTTGTGAACGGACATGATCATTGTTACTTTCATTTTGATTTGGATTTGCCTTTTTTTTTCCTAGTCAAACATAGTCTGTCCCTGTCTTTTGGCATGTGAATTCCTGTAGTGTTTCTCTTTTGAGTCTTATGATGGAGTTGACGTTCTTGAGTTAATCAAACCAGCCAGTTCAGGAAGATCTCCAGAAAATTTAGATCATGGCTAGTTTTAGTCAGATGTACCCAGTGGACTTAAAGAAACTGCTGTGCCAATGTGAAGCTGCACAGCTACCACCAGTCAGTGGGGGGACTCCAGGCAAGAGAGATGGGATCAGCTGTTTTTGTACCCAGGGACACTTCTGAGAATTCTTTATGTTCTAGCTAAGCTGTGAATTTTCTACAAGGGCCATGCAGTTGAGATATATCTATATTTTTGGCATTGACTGATTGATTAATTGATGGATTGATTGACTGGATTCTTTGAATAGTAAAATAACCCTCCCCTTCCTCCCACCTTAAAAACAAAAGTCATTTCCAGGATGGCCTTTCCCTCCAGATAACCTTGAACCCTCTCCATCTATGTCCAAACATGACATGTTTTTGGGCAGTGCTGGCACACCGAGTGCTGATGTTGCAAGCTGGTTGACTTCTGTGTGTTGACTCTTCCCTGCCAAACCAAGAGGCCCAAGAGGGATCTGGCATGATCATCTCAGAAGGTAAAAGTCTGCATTTGGTGAGCAACTAAACTGAACAATAAGATTGTTTGCAAGGAAAAGATACAGACTTTTGATGACTTCCCACACCTGGCAGTTTTCTCTCTCTTTGTATATTCTGTTTGTTTAACCACCAATGGTCTTACTGCTTTTCTTTGAGAGGAACTAGAATATTCTTTCAACCTTTGCCTTGTAGCTAAAGCCACGACTGGTACATATCTACTTCAATCAAACGTCGATGATGTCAACTCTTAAAAGTCTTTATACAGTGCATAAAGGCTTTGAGGGCTGTCCTAGCGCTCATTTCATTTTGGAATTATGGACTGATATATATATACAAAAATATATATATACGTGTGTGTATGTGTATGCATATATTAAAAATCAAAAATTAAAATGACATTTTAAATATGAAGTTTTGAACTGAAACTAATAGTAACCAGGAAATTCAAAATTCAGGCTTGTTCTTTGTTGTTAGATGACATGATCATGAACTAAAAAAAAAACCTGAAAGACTAAGAATTTTGATGTCTGCTGAGTGTGAGCTTTTAATTTCACTGGTTTTTGTTAGTTTAGTTAAAAAAAAAAGTTTTAAAGTCATCTTAAACATGGGTTTTTAAAAATAATGTTAGTTTCCTTATTTTTAAAAGGAGAAAAAAGTTTTCAGAAAGTTATGAAAGAAATATTAATTATAACACTTAACACTTCTATAGTGCTTTATGGGACATAATCTGCTCTCCGTAGTAGCAGTGTAAATGAATGTAAAAATAATTTGAAACAGGCAGAAATGTTGAAATTGACTTCATATTGGTACATGATCATGCTCTTATGAAATGCTTACACCCCTTTCAGGTGAAATCTACCCTTGCACAGAGGACCAGCAAAATTGTTTAAATCACTCACATTATACTCCAGGATTTTAGGTGGGAGTATACTGATCCAGACACCTGTTTTTCAAATCTTCAGCACTGATTTGCTCCTCTGAGAACAGAATTTGTCCCCCTCTATCAGACTCTGCAAAAGTCACTGTAGCATTTTTAACTGATAGATTGGATCTTCCTCTCTCTGCAGATGCTGCTAAAAGCTATTTTAGAAAGTTTCCCAAGGAATCACACACTTTGCAGTCCAGGAATACATAGGAGATGAGGAAAGTCAGATCTGTCAAGTAAATGCATATTTAGACATTTTTAAAATGAGACTATCTAATGTTAGATGAACAGGTAACGTTTAGTTTTGCATTTTCTGTAATATGGGCTTTCACAAGGTATTAATTGACAATACTGTATTATTTAAGAAAAATCAAAAAGTATATTTTGCAGGAATGGCTACTAGCCATTTTTCAAGCACTAATAAATTAGAACTTTTGAAAAAAGGTATTAAATAACTGCCTCTGGTAGGAGACTTTTTGCCATGTTTCAGTCCAGAGCAAGAAGGTGTTTGGCTCTTTTTAAATTTTTTTGAAAATTGTTGTTGCTGTTGTTATTGAGGCTTTTTCTGAGCTTACTTTTGGATCTGTTGTTTTCCTGGCTGTCCTACAGTGCTCTGCAATTTGAGTTGGTGGATCTCAGTCCAGTGCCTCGTGGGCAAGTGTCCACATTACTAAAACCACCCTGCAACCATCCACACTGGAGACCAGGTCCTCAGCTAAATTAAAATCAGTACAGAAAACTGTTGTTATTATTAGAACAAAGCCACTTCAATTTGGCTTAGGATTTGGCCTCAGCACATTGCTATTATAATTGTTTTTTGGTGGTCTCAGCAAGAGAGGCCAAGGATTGAATAGTCATGAAAACTTGACTTGCCCCTTAAATTCCTAGAGCCAATGCTCAGGAGCAAGACAAGTTGGAGGGTAGTGGAGAGGAAGTTGCTGCTGTTGCAGTCCCTGTGTTTCTTGTTCAGTGGACAAGTTGAAGTATTTGGTACCTTTCACCAGCACTGAGTTTACCAGAAGAAAAGATATCTCTCAACGCATTTAATATACAACGTATGATACAAGCAACCCCCTTCTATTATGAGGGTTTTTTTCGGTGGTGTTGATGCACTTGGAAATATGGCTTTCCTGAGTCACTCGAACCTTCCTAGTGTTACTGGAAAGATCATAGTTCAGGTGTATATAGTTATCTAAACCAGACTCTGATGTCATCGCACAAATTAGCTCTCAAGAAATCTTTATGCTGAATGTAAGCTGAAGATGCTGGACACGCATGGCCACCATTCACAGTGGCTGTCTTTTCTATTTGTTTCAGGATGGAAGAAACCAACAGTTTTGGTTTGCTTCTAAGTGGGTGTAAATATCAATTGAATGTAACAGTGCTTTGTTGTTTTTTCACTGTGAAATATATTTTGGAGCTAGAAAGGCTATGTTATTAAAAACAATACATAATTAAAAACAAGTGTGCAGTGCTCCTTGAGCCGTTGTTTTTTTAGCATGTCCATAATGTATTTCTTGTCTAATTTTCTTATTTTGCTTTTGTAATTGTACAAAAATTTTCTGTGTGGCAGCTTTTGTGACTATTGACTGTATCTAGCCACTGTTTGATTACTGATTTTTGATGTGGAGTGCTGGTACTACAGGACAATTCACATCTTCAAATGAAAACTGCAATCTGTACTTCAAAGGACAAGGCTTGTTTCATTGCTGCATGGTGACCTCACCTCCTTTTGTCTTCACCTACTTTTAGTATATCTGGAACTCAGAGGCTGGGTAATGGAACTTCAGTGCTTAGTTGTGGGAGTTTTTATTTCATCGACGAAAAATGCCCAAGTTCCTCTGCTTCATTTAAATATTTGTATACGAAAAACAGTTGTTAAAATGGGGCAGTGAGAGAATGGAGAGAAATGAAGGCAGGTGAGTCCAGAGTGAAATGCAAAAGAGGTGCTGTGTTTCGTGTCTAACTCCTCCTTTTCGGCATCTGTCCATCATGGCAACTAGAACTGTGACTTGCAACTACAAGGCTAAATAAAAATCAGAAAAGGGCAGGAACTGACTGTGCTGATAATATGAGATTACATTTGCAAAGATGACTCTTCCTAGACTCTCTCCATTGTTGATGGCAAGTGTGAGCTAGATACCTTCCAGAAGGGAATGCAGAGCAGTTCATAGAATCATAGAATCATAGAATCAACAGCCCAGGCTGGAAGGACCTTGAATGACCATCTGGTCCAACCTTTCACAAGAAAGGGATCCTAGATGAGATTATCTAGCACCCTGTCCAATTGCATCTTAAAAATCCCCTGTGATAGGGACTCTACCACATCCCCAGGGAAGTTGTTGATTGTTCTCACAGTAAAAAATTTCATTCTTAACATTGAGGTGAATCATCTCCCGGTGCAACTTGTACCTGTTCCCCTTGTCGTCTCCATGTGGGTCCTTGTGAAGAGCTTGCCTCCATCCTCTTTGTAGCCACCCTTTTAGTACTGCAATATGGTGATGAGGTCCCCCCTGAGTCTTCTCTTCTCCAGGGAGAAAAGACCTAAGTCCTTCAGTCTTTCCTCCTCGAAGAGGTTGTCCATCCCTTTGATCATCTTCATTGCCCTCCTTTTGACCCTCTCGAGTCTCGCTGCCTCTTTCTTGAATTGCAGGGACCAGAACCAGACACAATAAAGTGTTTGTTAGGCTCCTGCTCGAAACCTGACCTGGGAGAATCTGATCCTCTTCAGCAGTGATGAAAGGATTAGATGCCATAATTTGCCTTGTCCATGTAATTTTGCAAAAATTGTGGCTTTTCATAATATTGTCATATCAATGATGGATGAAATTCTGCTTCTGCACAGCGTGATGTCTTCTGTGCTTGAATATGAAGGGCTATGCAGAACTTCTGGTTACCTCAAAGATTTGTGTTTTTTTTCATAAATACCATGGACAAAAGGAATTAGTAACTAAAAATATACAAAGC